GTTGTAGTAGGCCGCCGTTGCGTCTGCGAGCACGGAAATGAGGCTGGTTTCTGTGGTGCTGCTGGGGCACGTAGTGACAGAAGCGGTGGCGGCAGACGCCACCTGGATGTGTCCTGTAACAGTCATGCTGCCGCCCTGCTCAGGGTGGAACCCGGCCCCGGTGGAGTTCAGGTACTGGTCAAACTCATTGCGGTCCACCTCACCCAGAAGCTCAGCCTGGCTCAGCTGATCTAGGGTCTCCAGGTGACCCTGTGTCTCTGGTGGGGGGGACAGCTGACCCAGGTGGCCCTGGTGGAGCCCGTGGTGAATCTGGGTGAAAGATGAGGTACTGTAGTAAGACAGCGGATGGCCAGGGATCAGTCCACCGCCACTTCCAGTTTGGGACATGTGAGGGATGTGACCTATATGTGTGCCCCCACAGTGGATCTGGGTCTGAGGGTAGTCAGTGTGATAAGGGGGCGGGCTGACCATGTGTGTCTGATTCTGGTGGTGCTCATCTGGACAGGAGGCTGAGGAAGAGCAGGAGACGGAGGAGCTACCAGATGTCGAATAATAAGAGGAGGGTACATGCTCGTGGTCCATGGCATCTAAGGGGGACATCTCAGGAGGAGTGGGCAGGCCATAGGGGTAAGTGTCAAAGCTGCTGTTGGAACCGGCTGGGTCTCTGAAGCTTCTGACGCTCGGCAGAACAGGGCTGGGGCTGGAAAACCTGCTGCTGACACCATTAGGGCTGCCCTCGTCTTTGTTGAGGGGGTGACAGAGGGCCCGCTGGTCGGGCAGGGCGTTCTGATCAGGGGCCAGCCCGCTTAGGAGGAAGCCAGGGTCCACTCGCTTGCAGATGCGTTTCAGCTGCTTCTTCCGGCGAGGCCGATACTTATAGTTGGGGTAGTCCTGCATGTGCTGCACCCGAAGCCTCTCTGCTTCCTCCACATAGGGCCTCTTCTGAGGGGGAGTCAGGGCCTTCCAGGACTTGCCTGCAAGAAGAGGAGACAGAAGAAGTTTTTAAATTTTGACAAAGAATCCCGAGCAGATTAGTTCGCAGTTTACATTTGCAACTTTTTTATTTCATATTTGAAGTCTGTTATATTTTCTCACACTCTAACAATTTCTACAACTTGTTAAACATCCATAAACATATTCTCAATCAGTTTTTGCAGGAAGTTGCAGGAATACACCTCTTTATTGGATAATTCAGATATTAAATTCATATGCATAATAGTGGGATTACAACCTCTTTTCCTAAATTAAACAAAAGTTAAACAGCTTTATAAAACAGACATAACATTAACACATTTTAAAATAAATCTGACTAAGCTTATAATTGTGATTTACAGGTGTGTGACATTTAACTTTTAAAATGAAAGAAAAAACATCTAGGCTGTATTAAAACTTTCACCGTAACTCAAGGGTATTGTTTTGAATGGATTTACCTTCAAGTAATGAATACCTTATTTTAAGATAAACAGAAGTCCCGATTTTACCTTTATTTATGAAAGCATATTTTGCATGTATTGCTGTTCTCTAATTGGCTTTAAGAAGATTTCTGATGCGAGAGTGCCAGGTTTGGGGGCTTAACATTGAGCACGAATCCAAGAAGCTTTAATCCAACGCAAAAATAAAACATTTCTGTCTTCTTCTATTTCCACAGTCTTAACGAATAGTTCGGTTCAGTGACATTAACTTTGAAAGTCATGGGATTTGGGTGACGCGCTTCACAGGCTATAACATCTGCGAAGTTAGGTGATTCATTTACTTGGTTTAATTTAGGATCAGCTGCGATTAAAATAAAAAAAAATTTTGTATTATCTCTAACATATTTTAAACGTTTATTTATTTAAATTAAGTATATTTTGGCGTTTGAAAGAATATTTAAACTTTTGTAAAACAGCCGAGGCCTGAGGGGAATTACACGATTGTGGACGGTTAAAAAGTAGCAATAATGATAACAATAATAATAATAGCAATAATTATTAATGAAACTTCAAACTTGAAATAACTTTTTCATCTCACCCAACATTTTGCTGAGCTCGGCATTGTGCAGGTCTGGGTTTTGAACCGCCAGCCGCTTGCGCTCATCTTTGGCCCACACCATGAACGCGTTCATGGGCCGCCTGATCCGGGGCTCCGGCGCCTTGTCCACGGGGTTTCTGTGGGGGCCATGTCCGTCGGGCACGTCCCCGTCTCCCGCAGGACACTCGAAGGACTCCGGCCACGACGAGTACGCGCTGATGAGGGCTGCCATCTGCGCGCTCTCTCCTCTCCGACCTGAAGATGCGCTTCTCACTCTGTCGCCTGACAAGTTGTGTTCTCTGCCGAAGTGCACTGCAGGATAATTTGAAAGTTGAAAAAACTTCAGACACTTCTCTTTTTTTGCTGTTTTTTTTTTTTTTACAAACCCAGCGGACTGGATCACTTGAGCTACAGGCTACAGTCAGATGTCACTACAGGTTTGAGAAGAAACCACAGATGTACTCAGGCAACGGCTCCGCCTTCTGAGTTATGATTCCGTCTTTCCTGGTGGATGGGGGGAGCGCTTTATATTTGAGGAGCAGGTTCCAGGAGAAGCCCCGGCGGATTCTCGGCTCCTCCTTGATTGCAAGTTGAGCACCAAAGGGAAGAGAGAGAGTTGCAACATTTCAACACTACTAACTACTTAAACTGGCCTCGCAACAAAACAACACTTTCCACTGACCGATAACGTCATTCAACTTACTCTTTTTTTTTTAAATACAAGTCACTGTGCAGGTAATGATTGTTTACTGTAGGCTACATTTGATTAACCAACAATGTATCTTTATAGGATCAATTGGGTTAAAATCACACGTTTGTCAAAGTGGATAAAAACCATCAGAGAAAACCCATCTTTAATTTGACATGTAGGCTATGTCAGGGTTGCTGTGAGGACAGTGAGAGATTTGGCAACTTCAGCTTTTTTTTCTAAGTCAACAAGGAAAAGCAAACTGATCTAACCTGTTCTGCATATACTTAACAACATTGCACAGCTAAGTACACTGGTTAAGCAGCGTTTTCAGATTTCTACTGAACACACACGCTACCAGGATGTCATGGTGTTGGCATGCCACTGAAAACACAGCACTCCCTTTCAGAAAACCCCTTTCTTACTCTATTTTTAACAAACAGGTGTTGTTGAAAAATTACCATCATATATATATATATAAAAATTTGTCCTAATTCCTGCTAAACATAATATTCAAATCCCTGTATTCAGATGAGACTCCCTCAGAGAAGGAAAGGCTCCTTTTTTTTTTTTTTTAACAGTTTGGGTGCCGATCAATTTTTGGAACCTCTGAACACATCTGGGAGTGAGATAAAAAAGCACTGAACACACACTACAAACAAATCAGTTTCCTTCTGTGGCCAGCGGCTAGTGCATATCAAATCCAGGAGTTCCTGTTGACAGGATACTCTTGGGCTGCAGCCATGGAGTAGCTCACACTCTCACACACAAGGGCACACAAAGGCACACTGCTCAAATAAAGCTACTGATTACGGGTCAGATAGTATCTTGGCTTGTAATATTTATAGAGGAGGGAGTAACCTAAAGAGTTGACTACAGAGACTGTGATTTTAACTCTTGAAATTGAAGAATTTCCAACTTTCGTCCTCCAGGTTTAATCTACAGGCAACATGGATCTTAAGTTGCAGTAAGTGCCTCCCCACCCATCAAACTGAAGTGTCAGCTCTAGCTTTGTGTGACCCACCACCACCACACAGGAACAGGATACAACACCTGAAGCCACAGATTGTGCACAGAGCAGGCACATCAGTGATATATAGAGCCACACTTACTACTCTTGCTGTCCTGACATTGATGTGAAGCTGGTGAAAGTTAGCACAACAGAGCGAGTGTGAGCTGATGGAGGCACAAGAATGAGTGAGTGCATGTGCAGTACAGGTGGCAGACTTGTTTGAGAAAAGTTTCACTTCATATTTACAATTTGAATTAAAGCACATGAAATCTCAGAGTTGAGGGTTTTCTGAAATGACTAATAGCACTGTGTGGGTTAACCGCTGTGTGGGTGGGAGCTGTATCAGCCTGCTGTCGGTCGCCCTTTCAGTGTGAAAGATGTGGCTACTGGAGACTCTGCGTATGAGCTTCATGAAGGGAAATTTCACTATGGCAACACAACTATTTCTTTAAGCAAGCACACATCCAAATCAGTTTATTAAAGAATGAATTCCAGTGAAGAGCACCAGCAGGCTAGTCTTAACCTTAATCACTTTCGTCCGTCATTATTTCTCTGTCTCACAGAAATTTAATTATTTTAAAAATAAAAGTGAGCACCTTCATTACATCAATGTCATCATATGACTGATTATTATAATCATAATATTATTTACTTTATTAGTCACTTTTTCTTAACATAAAACAAAAAATTAATAGCCACTTAAGTTGAACGACACATTTTTGGTTTGCAACACGGTATCTTATATTTATAAAATGATACAGCTTCCCCTGTATCTTTAATTAATATAATAAATTAGATTTATATAGCCCGTTTCAAAGTACTCAGACACTTTACAGAGGGTAAGATGAAAGTAATTATCAAAGTAATTAACTGAAAATGACTCAACATTATATGAGGATATGGAGAGAGAAAATCGCCTGAGCTCCGGAGATGCTTACAGTGATAGTGGGGCTCTGAACCAATTGAAGTCAAGACTTTTTTCGCAACTTCTAATTCAAAAGAGTGACGAAGAAAGCTGCATTGTTTTGACGTGTAAGACTGGACATGTGGTTTCCTTTTTCCTCCTTTGTCTCATACCATCCACAGTCACTGCTGAACAAGACTGCCTTGTTAAAGAGTTCTGTCAAGTCAAAGAAAAGATTTCATAACCTCATGAATCACATTTGGAAGTGGAAAGGGTGACTGGTTATTCAGGGAACCTTTACAGCTGATCTTTACACGGAAGTAAACCTATTTCTTCTCGCCACTCCTACATTTTATTAACCTATGAAGGAAAGAAAAACAATCAAACATGGCTATTTGGATTTATTCAAAAAGTGATCTGATCCTGTTAAAGCACCAACATTTTCCTGTTTTCTTACAGCTCATGAATGTGTCAGACAAAAGTTTTCCAGCAAAACATCACCAGAGTGCTTCCATTCAGATTTGTAAAGTCATATAACATCAAAAAGACTATTAATTTCTGAATGCTTCTGTTTTTACAAAGAACAAAAAAATTAAGGGCTTAATTTCACAAGGAAATATCTATTGTCCAAAGAATTGGACAAAGATGGTCAACACTAACTGCTGGCAAAATAATAAAATCCACTATGAAATTCTACTTAAATAATTAGTAACGCTGATGCATATTAGATGGTAAGACACAAAAGTAGTAAAACACATATAGATATATTGTTTGCATAACATAAAATAACCCATATGTCTTAAATGGTTTGGTAGTATTTTGGAATTTGGACCACTTTTATTCACATTTAGACACATGCCAGCTCTAATTATTTGTAAATTTGATGGACACAAAAGCTCATTTAAAAAAGTATGTCAACTTCTGATGTCTGTATTAATACATTTTACAGATTGTGGAGTAATATATAGAGAAACTGATCTACTAGATTAAAGGCATAGTTCAACATGTGCATATTTTCTTCTTTACTCAGAGTTGGATGAGTAGATTGATACCACTCTCACGTGGGGGGGTGGGGGGCACCACCTCTAAAGCTCACTAATTAACACGTGATGTCATGTTTGATTAAAAATAGGAGTATTACCCAAAATGTCAAACTTCCTTTAACTCGAGGTATGTTAACATCTGTTGCATCAATGCATCCCAGTGGCCAACAGTAGCGTCAAGGCTTTTAATGTGATCAAATGTCTAACCTCCCTTTTCTCCTCTGAACAGGTTATTAGATCTTATATATACATAAGACATTTGATTTGCTCATGAAGGCAATTAATCAATTCATGTGTGGCCCCCATGATCATGTTTATGGGAGTACCACGTCCCCCTGAAGGCTAAAGGACTGATGTGATTAGAGGCCCAATGATATTAACTCCACCCTATTCTTGATGTTTCTTTTTCTTTTTTTTGTCCTTCTTAGATTTCTTCCCAACCAGCTGCTCTTTCTCCTCTTTTACTACATCGTCCACCTCCTTTCGCTGTTTCTTCTTCTTTTTCTGACCAACCTCAGATTCAACATTTTGGTCCTCAGTTGGCCCATGTCCGTTTAGTAGCTCAGTTTCCTTATTGTGTTTTTTAACCTTCTTCTTGGACAGAGGCAGCTCCTTGCAGTTCTGGTCTCCTTCGTTTTCAACCACTTTCCTCTTTCTCGTCTTTTTCCCCGGACGCTCCAGCTGTTGGTCATCATCGTCCTCTATTAGAATGGGAGCGGTATCGTTCTCTTCTGCCACTTCCAGCTTATATGCAGACTTTTTGTTCTTCTTTTTCTTTTTAGGCTCTTCTGAGTCATGGTTGCTGCTGCGGATGGGACTGAGTTCTTTGGATGGACTTGATGTCTCACTGGCCTCTGCCTCCACTGAGGGTGCTGTACTATGGGCCTGTCCACGAGCCTTCTTCAACTGAGCCATTCGCTGTGCGAAATACTCCTGCATATTGAGAGTACTTTTCACAGTCTTGGTGATGGACTCTGTATCCAGCTCAGAAGTAGCAGGAGTAAAACCCTCCTGTGGCTCCCCCTGGGAATCACTGCTGTTGCTCTCCTAGACCAAAAACAAACAAAAAACAAAACAAAAACACACACGAGAAGACGGCGTTAGCATTTAGAGAATCCACACAGAAATAGACGGCACACAATGGTGGACGGAGGAGCTTAAGTGATCGTCAATCATCATGCAGAGATTAACCAGGCAGATTTTGGTGAGTGAAAAGAGGCCAAAATAGGATGCTACCAATGTAACAATAGGTGTTAAAAGGATCACCTTAAAATAAGCATTGCGGACCTAATCGTCACACATTTGACATTTATAATCATCTGCTTACAACACTATGTAGCACCACACATCCAGCTGTGCGTCCTTGCACAGTCAGCTCCTTAACTGCCTTGCCTCTGTGACGGCTCCTCACTAGTAAAGCTTTCTTGTGTGAAACAATTTTATGTGCGCCTGTTGAAAGTAGTTTGACCAGAATATAAGTGTTTGCAGTGAACAGGAGATTTTATGTTAGTACACACTACAGCACTGCTTTGACATCAAATATAAAGAATACAACTATCAGAAATCATTTCACATCGTTTAGGATTTATTCAAAATGATTCAATATCTTACAATTAAATGTGTGAAACAGCAGACAGACAGACCTAAAGCTGACTTTAGTATTCAACAGTCAGTTCTCAGAAATGCTTATACTAGGCTGAGTAAACGTCTGCTTTAATAAATGGTGAATTTAATTAGAAAATCAACACTCACCACAGTTCATGCCTTACATAGTCAGTACTTTTAGGGAGGCAATTGAATGGTACAATCAGCTTTGCTGATTTAAGTCATTGTTTACCATTTACCGTTTCTCAAAGGATCACTTTGTTTAGCATTTTGCCTGTATTAGACAGTGAAGTTGTAGATACAGACAAAAAAAAACATGGGGGGGCATTCAACAAAGATCCTCCGCTGGAACTGAACAAGGGAGATTACGGTCATATGAAACCTTAACCACTAAGCAACCAGCACACAACAGTTTTTAAAAAGTTTGCTGCGTCGTTAGGCCACCATCTCAAATATCTCTCAGGCAACTCTGGCGTGAATCCACAGCAGGTTTCTGGGGTTTTGCACATGTAACTTTGATTTCAAAATATGAGACTTCCCCCCCCCCAAGACATTACGTAATTGTGCAATGTTATATGTGTGCAATGCGAAAGATGGCATAACAATTCAGACAGGTCTTTGTTAATTGTTAACCTCCTCTGTGAGTGTATGCCAATAAGCAACATCAGATTCACAGATTCTTTTGTCAGAGAAGGACCCTTTCAAAGTGGAAGCAACCCAGAGAGCAGTGCTCATTCATTTGCTTTGGTTAAATGGTCCTGAATCTGAGGACATGAGTCACCAACTCATCTCTCCAACCTTTAGGCTGCATTATTAAGCAGGATCAACTTTATAACTCAGGTACAACAGGGTCTAGATTTTAACTCTACAGCATGAACAATTTGTCACCTCACCCCTGCGGCCCATTTGTCTTCATTTTCCTAATGGCCTACTCAATGCATAATGATTTGTCCAGAAGAATACAGAAGCTCCTCCTGAGAATCGCACTAAACAATACCGCCGCCCTGTGTATTACCTCCGAGATGCTGAAGCGGACGGCGTTTTTCAAACCCTGCAGATTAGAGATGAACTGAAAACACCGTGTTGTGCTGAGTCACCTCATGCTTTGGCCTTTAAGCTTTTACGTTTAGATTACAGTACTCTGACCCTCAAAACTGAATGAGATAGACAAGCTAACTGATGGGTTAGTAAAATAATGTGGATGTAGATCCGAACAGGCCTTGTGGGAAGTTACTACATGTGCACTGGGCCTCCTCTGGGGTTTGAAGTATACTGTATCTATATATACACACACCAATCATTTCTTTTAGACTAGCCACTTCAAAGAAACCCAACAAGCTATTAGTCTAAACCCACTAAAAGGCTCTTCATAGTCAATATATATCCATAAGGGAAATAACCATTGTTTTCACAACCTAATATATTGATTAATTTAGTAAGAAATGATTGATCCGCAAATACAGCCAAGCTTCAAATGTTCCTTTAGGCTTTAAATTCTGCATGTAAAATGGGGATTTGGGGAAGTATAACATACTTGATTACATAAGTTACTGCATATTCTGTTGACTTTATTACATCTAAAAAGGATGGATTTAGAAGCCATTCACACGGTCATGAAGCACATGATTGAGGGTAAATGACAAGGCAGGTGTTCAAACGGACTACAAAGCTTTCCACCACCTCAGACTAGAAAGAACCCTAACTTCTAACAAGGGGGGATAAGGCCCTTCGTCTGAGGTGCCATTAAACAAAACTTTCCCATTTCCCAGAAAAAATCTATACTCCCTGTTACTGCACAATGGCATCCTCTCTGCTTGGGAGAGTCGAGATGGGGCTTAAGAGCTGACAGCGCCAAACAACATGTAACTGGGATTTGGGAAGATGGCTGGGGGCCACTTTAGAACTGCCTGTGAAATTACTCTCAAGAGAGGGACAGGGTGAATGAGCGAGGGAAAAAGGAGAAGAGAGTGACTGAGAGAGAAACATCTCCTTCATCAAGGGAAGTGGCTGGAACTTGGTCTGTGGTTCTTCCTCACTGCCTGGGGATCTCCATTAGACCCTGATCCGACAGGAGGGGAAAGTGCTGTGCTGAGCACAGGCTGAACACACACACACGTACAGTATGGATATAAACCTACAGATCCCGTCAGCATTACTAGCAGCCCTGGAGATTTTTGTGTTGAAGACAACATGTTACTAAGAAACAACTCTGCAGTAATGTTTGAGATCTTGTTTCCCTATTTCCAGGTGTGTGTTATTTTCTCTGGCCTGTTAATATCAGTCACCATTTCTGTGCGAGTGCCATAGCATATAGTATACAGCAAGCCAAATGAGTAAGCAAGCATGAGACTACTCCCTCAGACTAGAATATATGTATCCTGATACAAGATTTATGATATAAAATTTTAACAAAGCAATAGTCACAAAATATAGTAAATCACAAAAGGCCATTTCTTGGATTATATAAAAATGTAAGCACTACAGTATCAATATTTTATCATGCCTAATTCCATTTCATTAAGAAAATTGTTTTTGTGTGTTGCATTAACATGAGAACGTTTCTGCTGCAGTGCTTTTCTTCAAGACCAGTGACATTTTCTTCTTTAAGAACATGAAAATGTTTTAATGCATTTATTTTGTTTTATTATTATTTTATTGTTAATAGACAGTGACAGCACTTCCTGCAGGTGGCTCACAGTGAAAAGCCTTGCAGCGAAGAGAATTACTTTAGACTTTTATATAAGCAACTGCAGAAAGTCTTTAGTTACAATCAAGTGTAGTTTCATGAAGTTACATTTTTCAGCAGAGGTGTGCAGTCCATTTCTACATTTTACATTCAGTTTGTTTTACTCATTGAACTGCTTAGGTGAAGCCCTGGCAACAAAAACCTTCATACAATGCAGACTGAAGGTAAGTAAAAACTTTCTCGTGCAGATCCCTAAAATAGAAAAACAATTTTACTAAAATGTTTAACTAAAACCATATTTTGAAGAGCAAAGTTTAGTTCCTATAGTAGGAAATGCACTTTAAAAGGGGCTTTGCTTTAAACACCTAAAGCTCAAGAAGGGACACAACCAATTTATAATTTAGAAAATCAGTTTATGTAATTGCTGGAACTACAGAAAAACGATTGAAAAAGGCAGTCCCAGGTTACAACACAGTGGGGTTGAGGAGTAGAGGGTTGGAGAACACACCTATAATCCAGCCATGTCTACTCCTCCTCCTCCGCCTCCTCCCGGACCCAGAACCCCAGGAAAAGGATGCGCTCAGTGCACTGTGTGCAGTTCTGAGATAAGGCTCCTTCAGCAGAGGAGCGGCCTGGCTGGCTATCGGGCCCTTCCTGCTCCGCACTCTCCCCTGGCGGGGGCTGGGGCTGGGCAGGGAACACAGGGAGGGCCCGCAGAGGGTCCCAGAGAAAAGAGAGGGTGGGAAGACATTCAACAGGCCGCCTCCTTCAAGACACTCCAGTTCTATCTGTCCCTGCTAAGGTAGCCGATGGAAAGCCAACAGTGAGACATGTGCTGGGGTGCCAAGACACTGAGGCCAACATATTCAGGAGGAGAGTCAATCAAGCCAGCAGAGGGATGGTGGAAAAGGTTCGCTAGAGTGCATGTGAAACTTTGAACCAACAAGATCAGCAGAGAAATATATTGCATAAAGTACATTATATATACTTTATGCAATGAAAACCTTTACTGAGCAACCACATTTACTTTGTCTTTATTTCAGAAGAGAGAATAAAATTCCAAAATCAATAGTTTCAGGGATGTCCTAATTAAGTTTTGTGATCCCAGTCCAAGGCCTTTTCTAATACCAGTGCAATCCAATTATTTTAATCTCCCCCCACATTATTCAGCTTCAGAGTGTACAATTAAGTACTTGAGTACACAAAAGTAAGCCTCCCTAAATAGTGAATCAGTAAAACAATTAAGGTTTTTGTGACAGTCAAATGGTTCTTTCCTTTAGTATTTTTATGGTATGAATGTTTATCTGTAGAGTGCAAGTATGGATCTGTTACAGTTTGGACCGGATCTGAACCTGCAAAATGTTCCTGAAACATAGCTAAGCATTAAACTGTTGACTCTCGCAGTCAGTGTGGATTTCATTAAATGACACTGATGGCTGCTGTTCATTTGTTTGTAATTCTACAACTCAATCACTTGCAATGCTGAGCATCAACAAACTGTTCCAATGTTTAACAGAGTGCAATGGAGCATTTCCCGGGGCGCAATGGGCCTTAACAAAGCACGGTAAATAGTCTATGTGGTCCATTAACGGCCTGGATCGGTCCATCTCCCGATCCTGCGGATTGGCACAGCACATTCCTACCATCTGTAGTTGTCATACTGAAGGCTATTATGTGGGCACCATATGGCTCGACATCAAACTTTTGTTGTTTACAACTGTTGAAATGTGAGGATGAATTCTTTGCTCCGATTCTG